CACACACACACACACACACACACACACACACACACACACACACACACACACACACACAACTTCTTCCCACTGACCATGTTTTCTCCAAAGCATTTTTGGAGAGAATTGTAAGTCACAAACAAGGCTGATGTAAACGCTGGGAATCACGACCCAACATATGTAATTTAAGACAGCTGTGCTGGTGACGCTTGTGATACCACTCTCTGAGGCAGCAATTCTCAACCTGTGGGTCACAATCCCTTTGGGGGGGAGGCATATATCTGGTATTTACATTACAATTCATAGCAGTAACAAAATTACAGTTATGAAGTTGCAATGAAAATAATTTTATGGCTGGGGGTCAGCACAACATGAGGGACTGTATTAAAGCGTCACAGCATTAGGAAGGTTGAGAACCACTGCTCTAGGGGGTACAAGAGGATCTCAAGTTCAAGGACTTCCTCAGCTACATTGCTAACTTGAGGCCAGCCTGGGCTACATGAGATCCTTCCCCACCCCACCCCCAAAAAAAAGTAACACAGTAGAATGGCTACAGACCATATTACACAAACTCACGCCTCTCCTGATGGTACTGATTTGCACACGTCATAATACCAGCTCTCCAAATATCAGAGACAGTGTGTGTCCCTATAACATGGAGAAAATAAACATCTCCAGTCCTTTGGGGACCACAGCCTCTCACTCCAGCCCTGATAGTCAGAGAATTTGGCATGGTGGCACATGCCTGTAATTCCAGCACCTGGGAGGCTAAAGCAAGAAGACTACCATGCGCTTGAGGCCAGCCTGGGCTAAGTGGTTAGACACTGTCTTGGAACTTCTTTACCTAGGGTGCTGCGGTTTCACAATCTGCACGTGACCGCGTGATCACGTGATCATATGATAATACTGTACAGGCACTCACAAAGAACATTAGGAAATCTGCATGAGGCCTGTGGATCTGACTGGGTGCCTCCGTTTGCAGAGTTCTCTATAGAGATGTGAAATCCCCAGTAAGCTTTGTTATCGTTGCAACCTCCTGCAGGTGTATAATTACTTCTAAATAAATAGATTTATAGAAAATAAACAGAAATCATACTCCAAATCCCCATAAATACAACAAATACAAGCAAGTGCCTGCACTGAACCGGTAAGTCCAGACATCCCTCCGCTCCGCCCCCTTACGGTGATTTGCTGTGAACCAGGTATTTGTGAAACCTGGAAACCAGTGAGTCAGACTTCATTTGCATACCCATAATTCCTTGCATGTAATACAATCTTTGAAGTCTAAAAAATATATATGTATATATATATATTAATCAACAACTCTAGCTAAAAGAACTTGGATTACTTAATAAACAAGGTGGTGTGAAGTTCCTGGGGGTTGAAAATCTCACTGTCAATGAACTAGGAGCTGCAGTTACTAGTAGACACAGCTAAAGTTACCCCCACATACTCTGGTTTCTCTTCAGATCGTATAAATCTTTCGCCTTTTACTAAAGATTTCCGTGGAGAGGAACAAGTCTGAGTCTTAACTAATTTTTTGAGGCCTTGTTTTTGCAAGGCTGATAACTTGGTTCCAAAGTAAGAATGGTTATTGGTGGGATGACTGGTTTCTCATGCTTTAGCAAAAAGTGCCCTAGGCTTTGGTTTCTGTTGCTTCATTTAAGGAACTGTCCTAGGACAGTGACCCATCAGTGCCATAATGAACTCCACAGATATACAACAGAGGCACTGGTTGATGGTTTGTATGTTTCTTAAATATTCCTATGCAAAGTTGAGGTCTACAAGTCCTGGTGTACACTTGGACTATACCAAGACCCTGACCCAAAGAAAATACAGGCAAACAGTTACTTTATCAGTTCAAGATGTAGCTCAACCGCCGTTTACTCCTCTCCCCCCAACAGACTGTCTACAGCACTCAGTGTTGAAGCTTAGCAACCACAGTGTGGACTGACATTAGAGGCCCAGGTTAGTTAGACATGGCTCCTTCCAAAGTTCTCACAGTGTCTTGCCATTACAACTACCACCTTTTGGGGTTTGATACAGGGTCTCCATAGGCCAGGACACACAATCCTCCTGCCTCACCCTCCTGAATGCCAGGGTTACAGGCTGTAACCCCTGTACACCATCAGGCCAACGCTAATATCCTCTTCAAGCTTTCAGTGGGGGAGATATTCAGCAAGGGGCCCAGTGCTAAGGACAGGTGTCCACCTCCTTGGTCTGCTGGAAACTTACCAGGCCTCAAAATTTTCTAACTCCACTCCAAGCCACCTACACAATATGCAGTGTGACAGGCCATAGCAGGATGAACAGATGGGTGCTAGGGAGCACCAGACAGCTAGATAGCGGTCAGGTGGCTCCAGGGTGTGGCTCTCAGCACTGAGAACTTCATCCCCAACGCAGGGGTTGCCTACACACATGGACCCCTGATGCTGGTCATTATGAGAGATGTCAGGAAAAAATCCTAGACAAAGTCAGGGTCCAGACCCTGGAACCTTAGCAGGACCTGGTAGAATGGTGGGAGCCAGGAAAGCTACGGAGGCAAAGCCCCATTATCTAGAAATAGCCACAGGCCATGGGGCTGATCGTGGTCCTGACAGCGAAGCCTGTCAGTGGCAGTGGTGGCGCCTAACACCGAGTTCACTTCCTTAGGCTTCTCTTCAGCTGAGTCTCCTGCTCAAAGGCAGGTCTGCTTATTTTTGCCTCTGGCAAACAATTCTGTATTATCTGAAATGCCTGTGGTGCTTTTATAAGACACACAGTAACGCTGGGTCTACAGTGACCCACGGAACTACCTCCCTGACTTCCCAGATCCCACTGGGACGAAACTCCCCAGTTCCCTCATCTTATAAGCAGCACAAGCTACCAACCCTATATTCTTACTAATGATTCTAAAAAGAGCTGTTATGAAATATAAACATCTAGAAGAGGTGTCATAAATGCTAGTCCAATTTGCATTCAGTTGTATTAGGGGTTGTGTATCTGAGTGAACATGTGTGTATATGCATGGAAGTGTGTGTGTGTGTGTGTGTGTGTGTGTGTGTGTGTGTGTGTGTAGGACAGCTTGCCTGAGCCAGATTTTTTGCTTTGTGTGGGTTCTTGGGCCTGAACGGTGATCAGCCTTGGCAGCAAGTGCCTTTACCTACTGAGCCATCCCACCAGCTCCACACTCGGCTTTTCCCTAGGTCCTAAGGAATCGACTGCGGTCCTTAAGCTTGTATGACGGGGACTTGACTGGTTGAGCTGTCTCCCCAGTCCACATACGACTTTTCACGGAACCGTCCAGTGTGTAGAACAACAAACGCCGGAAAGGACACCCCACACAGGGCGAGGCCAACACCAGCCTGGCATCCAACACTCTGTACAGCCAGAGTGGAGGAAAGGCTGGGCAGCCTGGTGAGTGAGGTTGGGAGGGGAAGTAAAGTTGCTGCAAGTCTAGAACCTGAAGCTGCCAGCACAGGCCTCGGGACAGGGCCAGCAGCACCACTTCAGAAGGAACTGCCTCTAAACACTTGTCAGGAAACAGGAAATTCAGAAGACCACGGGGCATTTTATGCCCCACACCAGCCCATGAGAGCAGCCAGTGTCAGGATGGAGACACTACAAACACGGAGTACAGGTGAAGTGTGCAGTGACACTCTTTAAACACTGAAACACGCTAGCACTCCGAACACTTAAACACTGAAAACAGAAAAACGAATGCGCTGTTCAGACGTGGCTTTGGCTTGAAGCGCCATCAACTGGCCCTGAGCCTCCCTCCATCCAAGTCAACAGTGACATGGGGTCCTGTTGGGGAAGCAGGTGGTGGTGGTTTAAATAAGAACGGTCCCCATAGGCTCATATATCTGAATGCTTAGCATCAGGGAGTGGCACTACTTGGGAAGGATTAGGAGGTGTGGCCTCGTTGGAGGAGGTGTGTCACTGGGGCTGGGCTTTGAGGTTTCAGAAGCCCATGTCAAGCACAGAGTCTCTTTCTCTCTCTGCCTGTGGATCAGGATATAAAACTCTCAGCTACCTCTGCAGCACTGTGTCTGCCTGCATGCCACCATGCTCCCTGATAATCAACTAATCTCTGAACCGGTAAGCCAGCCCCTAACTAAATGCCTTCCTTTACAAGAATTACTCTGGCCATGGTGTCTCTTCACAGCAACAGAACGCGGACTAACATCGAGGTTCTGGTGGGAGCAAAGGGTGAATCCTGCTTCCCTCCAGTGGAAGAAGAGGAGCTGGTACACAAGCACTTCCAGAAAATGAGAACATAACACAAGTCTGAGGCCTTCTCCAACACAACATGCTCTACCTTCTCAACAGAAAAGGCACACTTCTCCAGATGGCCACCGAGCACTCTGCCATCGCACAAAGCGAGGCAAGACACGGGCAGGTTTTAAACATCAGAAGGCTGGTCACTATCCACCCCGTACCTTCTTCAATCCTCCAAATAGAGAGTCTGTCTCCAGCTCAAATTCTTGGTCCAGTTCATCTTCATGCTCTGATAAGAAAAAATAATCTCCGTTAATCACGCCTTAACTAAATTGGGTGTAAATAGCAGAAGGACACAAAGAAGTTAAAATACTTCCTGCAAACCCAGTAGCAGACCAGCCCGCCGTATCCCTGTAATTCCTTCCCTATGTTGTGACCTGAGTTCCCGGGATGGCTGATAGAAATGTCGCTCTCACCTTGGATAAAGGCTAAAAAGGGAAAGAGAGATTGTGAGAGAAAAGTACTCAACACGAGGAGCCAGGGAAGGTGGCAAGGCTTGGCCGTATAGAAACAGGCTGTCCAAAGAGTGGGGTGTGGGCTCCCTGCAGGCAAGGTGTCCTCACGGAGTCCTGAGGATTGTCACTCCTCATGGACAGATATCCAACGGCAGGTTCTCAGCATCTCTTCTTTCTTGGGCAACTCGATTTTGTAGCTTTGAGCTTTTAGATAATTGTAGACTGTCTTGGGAATGACTCACATCTGTAATCCCAACACTTGAGAGGATGTACAGGTACGGAATATTTTTACATAGACCATGACTCAAAACTGGTGTAGCATCAAAGAATTATATGACAGGAGCTAACAAGGTTTATAAAGTAGAATGTCAGGTTAGTAATCATGCTTATAGGTGACCAGTACAATAGACTACTGCATGTACGTACAACATAAACACGCATACAACAAAGCTGAGACCTCATCACCAAACAACAGTAGCAAAAAAAGGAGAAGGAGGTTCTCTTAGGGCTGAGTGTCCTTCATGGTAGCAACAAAGACTGAAATGTCACTCTGAGCCTCACCCTCACAGCAACCCCCACCTCCGCCTCCTGAATGTTGGCGTCACAGACGTGAGCCACCATCCAGACAGACTAAAATTAGCTAAAAGCTCACAGCTGCAAAATCGAGTTGCTCAGTGAAGAGCAGATGCTGAGAACCTGCTGCAAGACATCTGCCCATGAAGAGCAGCAGCCCTTGAGATGCTGTGAGGACACCTGGCCTTCTGGGAGCTCACACCTCACTCTTGACAGCCTGTTTCTGTGACTTAAATGCAGTTAAACAAGTGACTACCACAAAAGGAGAGAAGCCCCTCTGCCTGCAACTCCTCCCATGCCACTGAAAACAAAGGCTGAGGAGCCCCATCCCAACACCACTGGGGACCAAGCCTGGAAATCCCCCACATCCCTGGGGACAAAGTCTGGAAGCCCCTTATGCCACTAGGGACTAAGCCTGGGAGCCCTCCATGCCACTGGAGCCCAAACCTGGAAATCCCCCACATCACGGAGGACAGAGCCTGGGCTCTCCATGCCACTGGGGACCTGCAGCCAAGACAATGCTCTGCTAAGGTCCAGTTCCATTTCCCAAAACACGGCCTGAGAACATTAGAAACAGAACAATTTCCACCCAAGAGCCCTGGTTATCAGTCAGCTCTTTATTCTCCCCCTTCACAAAAGGCTACATCAGATTCCCATCTACCTACTAAAGGCGA